CTGGCACCCTCCCGTTAAGTATTTGTAAGTATTAATAAGATCCCCTCAATCTTCTTTTCTCTAGACTAAAGAGACCCAAGTCCCTAAGCCTCTCCTCATATGAGAGATGTTTTAGATAGTCCTAAAAAGGTAACTTAGCTATTAAATATGTATTTCTTCTGCTGAAAGCCAGTGTGGAAAGAAGCCTAAGAATGGAGGAAGAGGTGAGATAGACGTGATTGTGCTGGAGTGCATGGCAACAACTAAGACTTTGTGTGAAGAATACGGGGGGGGAAATCTGACAATGAATCATGATTGCGGAAAAGGGGACTAAGACTGGAAGTCAACAATAAGAGGAATACCAAAGAGCAAATCTGGAGAAAGATTAAGACTGTGTAATAAAGTTATTGCTAGAACCCAAAGGGTGATGAAAGAAGTAATGAAGAGAACTGTACTGCCACAGAAGGGTGGAAAGAGGACTGAAGCAAAAAGGAGTGTGCATGAGAGCTTGTACCTGTAAAGTTCACTTAAAGTTCACTTTGGTCAGAAGTTCTTTTCTGAACAGTAAACCTGTGGTGTCTGAATCTCATAATTTTAATGCTGTCAGCACTTAACAAATATCAGCAAATTACACACTAAGCTGCAGATCTTAGCACAGAGTATACACCTGCATGGCATGTTGGACTTGGTCCTGGTCCCAGGTCTGTCACCAAGCCTCTTACCTTTTTACTAAATTCCAAGATATACCTGAGACTTGCAGTACATGTGTCCATATAATACAATAACCCAAGAATATCAAATTATTATGCAGTTGTGACTGCCAGCATATGTCTCACAGTAAACATCTTGGAAAATAATTACTTTCAATGGCGTTAGGATTGCAGTAGAAATCCCAGCACAGGCTTCATTGCTTCTTGTTGACAAGTGATTTAAGAAACTTAGAATTTTGTGTGATTGGTTGTGTCTATTAGTTTATTGTCCAGACAGCACATAGAATGAAGAGTCTGTGTAGGTAAGGTCACAAGCTAGGAAAATAGTTTCTGTGTTCTTTGGAATTGGAAATGCTTCCAAATTTGTTTAGAGAAGGCAATACAGGAGAAGCCCACAGATCTAAAAGTATAGCTGGTCAGAGACTCACTGGACCTCTGTACTCAAATAAGCACAGAAATGCTCACAAAGAATGATATGTTGTATTTGAAAATTTGATCTGCTGGCTGGAATGACAGACATTGTCTTGGTATCTTCTGAAATCTGACCCTGAGAAATGAGCCATAAACCTAAGAAATACGCAAACAAAACTACTAAAAGGTTTCAAAAAAAAGATTTGTTGTTATTCATAAAGTTGAAGTTAATTTTGGGGGAAAAGCATCCTTTTTTGTATGTACATGTTGTGGTACAGACTTTAATTATAAGATCAGATACTTACTTTTGTATAGGCAGTAGCATGTTCATTGGCCTAGATTTCTCTTGGAATGAATTGAGGGGGTTTGGAGGAGTTCTGTGTAGAAAGCCTGTTTGATTTCTTCAAGCAGTTAGAAGAGGTATGGTGAAAGAGATGTACTGTGTCACAAAGTAGGAGAATAACTCGATCGCCACAGAACTCTTGTTTAATGCTAGTCATGTCAAGAATTACAAGAATAACTACAGATACAGATAAACACTCTGCATTACTGCTTTTTGTGAGAAATCAATTTAATGTACTGGGTAGTGCTTGTGGAAGTGTGGAGCACTTGGTTGTTGCTGAAGTAGGTGGGAGCTGTGTTACATGGTGTGGTATAGTATTAAAAATAAATTAAAAAAAAACCAAACAAAAACCCAACCCAACCCAAACCAAAACAACCAAGATGGTGTCTCATGTTGGGCACCCATAACAAGTGAGAGCTGCAGATTGAAATCTTTCATTAATAGAAATGAAAGACCTAAAGACATACACTGAATAGCAAAGACATTATAGAGAGCTTCCCATAACTTTCTACATGGACTACTCCTTCACTGCATAGAAACGGTAATAGATTATGATGATGTACTTAACATCCTTGTTATAGTCTACTTACTAATATATTTACATTAAGGTTACAGTTGCTACTGCAGTCTATTTCTATGACTCACTTTACCCTCTCCTTAGTTTACCTTTTAATGTCCCTTGTACTATATATGAAGTAATAATGTGCAATATATGTAAATATGAACTTCAGAGTCTTAGCTTCTGTAATTTTTATTTAGGTATGGCTTTGTCACTTTTGAAACCCAGGAAGATGCACAGAAGATTTTACAAGAGGTAAGCAATAGTCCCCATTATGATTATCTCTTAAAGGAAGTATTTCGTTTCATATTAGACATTAAGTAGCCCTGGCTGTCTGGTCCTGTTCTGTTTGCCAGTTTGCATTTGAAGATCTGTTAAGTTTGGTCTGCATAGTTAAGATGATGGCTTATATCTAAGATAAGATTTATACTGACATCTTCTGGAACTAGGGGAGGGAGTTGCCAGTTAATAGTAGAGTTTTTGATTTTGATATACAGTCTATGCTTTCTTAGACTATATGTGGTCTATAATACATATAGAGCGGTAAAGACTCTATCTCTCACAATTGCTTTAATTTCCTTTACTAGAAAATCCATTGCTGTCAAGATCCTGTGGGGAGCTGGGAAAGATAACTGCTCCCTGTTAGTCCAACATGTTTGATTGTCGGAGCTGATGTAATTCTTTTCAGGAGTAATTAGATTCACTTGAAGTCTTAAACAATGAAGTTCATTTTATGTCATGTAATTGTTGCTTTCTGTCTTTGCTACATTACTGTCTTGACTCTCCTTGTAGAACCTCTCTTCAGACATGTATAATAGCTCTTCCGTTTGGTTTGTTTTTTTTAAAATGTGTGCTCAGTCTTCTCATTGGAATGTATTGGAGAAATCTGCTGGTCAGGATCTGTTCATACACTTGAAACTATCTGGGCGGGGGGGAACCCAGAAACTAGTAGCTGAATGCTTGCAAGCTGCCTTCTCCCAAATAGAAAGCTGGTTAAAGTGTTGAAATAGTGACCCTTTGTTGGAAATTTATGTAATTACAATTCAAACTAAGAGCTGGGACACTTTCAAAGAAATTTTCTGAGTGTTTTCAAAAAATACAGTTACATTGAGCCAAAAGAATATACAGACAGGAACTTCCTAAGTCAGCTACTTTTCTTCCCTCATGTTTTTTTTTTTTTTTTTAGTTTTATTTCTGTGAACTAGAAGAATACAAATGGTACTGACTACCACTGGGAAAATGGATTAGGATTTTTACCTCTATAACTGAAAGCTGTTCCATGTGAAGTCTTACTGGTGTCTCATTCAATGATACTAATACTTTTTTGGCTATTGTAAGTGCTTTAATTTAGATGCCCTTCAATTCTGTCACCTTTTTCATCTTTGCATCATACTCCTATCTCATATTCATCTTCAGATCAGTTAGCATCTGGGTCTTTCTCAGACATCTTAAGCTGAGAGTTTTGCAGAATGGTAGCGATTGGAAGGGATCTTCGGAGACCGTCTAGTCCAACTCCTCTGTTTGAGCAGGTTGCATAGGAACACATCCAGGCAGGTTTTGAGTATCTCCACAGAAGGAGACTCCGCAACCTCTCTGGGCAGCCTGTTCCAGTGCTCTGTCACCCTCTAAAGGAGTTGTTTCCTTATGTTTAGGTGACCCTGCTCTGGCAGGGGGGTTGGACTAGATGATCTCCAGAGGTCCCTTCCAACCCTAACCATTCTGTGATTCTGTTTAGACAGAATTTCCTGTGTTCCAGTTCGTGTTTGTTGCCTCTTGTCCTGTCGCTGGGCACTGCTGAGAAAGGCCTGGCCGCATCTTCTTGTCATCTGCTCTTTAGATATTTGTAAGCATTGGTGAGATCCCCTCTCAGTCTTCTCTTCTCCAGGCTAAACAGACCCGGGTCTCTTAGCCTTTCCTCATAAGAGAGATGCTCTAGTCCCCTGGTCATCTTCGTAGCCCTCCATTGGACTTTCTGCAGCAGTTCCTTGTCTTTCTTGGATAGGGGAGCCCAGACTGGGCACAGTACTCCAGACGTGGCCTTACCAGGGCAGAATAAGGGGGAGAATAACCTCCCTCAACCTGCTGACCATTCTCTTTTTAATGCATCCCAGGATGGGATTGGCCTTCTTGGCCACAAGGGCACACTGCTGCCTCATGATCAACTTGTTGTTGACCAGGATGCCCAGGTCCCCCTCTGCAGAGCTGCTTTCCAGCAGGTCAGCCCCTAACGTGTGCTGGTGCATGGGTTATTCCTCCCTAGGTGCAGGACCCTACACTTGCCCTTGTTGAATTTCATTAGGTTCCTCTCTGCCCAACTCTATAGCCTGTCCAGATCTCGCTGAATGGCAGCACAGCTTTCTGGTGTGTCAGCTACTCCTCCCAGTTTTGTGTTGTCAGCAAACTTGCTGAGGGTACACTCTGTCCCCTCATCCACGTCACTGATGCATATGTTGAGTAAGACTGGACCCAGTACTGACCCTGGGGAACACTGCTAGTTACAGGCATTCAACTGGACTCTGCCACTGATCACAATGCTCTGAGCTCTGCCATTCAGCCAGTTCTCAATCCACCTCACTGTCCACTTATCTAACCCACACTTCCTAAGCTTACCTATGTTATGGGAGACTGTGTCAGAAGCCTTGCTGAAGTCAAGGTAGACAATGCTCCCCCCTTATCTGCCCAGCCAGTCATACCATCATAGAAGGCTATCAGATTGGTCAAGCATGATTTCCCTTTGGTGAATGCTTGTTGGCCACTCCCAATAACCTTTTTCCTCCACATGCTTAGAGATGACATCCAGGATGAGTTATTCCATCACCTTTCCAGGGATCAAGGTGAGGCTGACGGTCCTGTAGTTTCCTGGGTCCTCCTCCTTGCCCTTTTTGAAGATTGGAGTGATACTGGCTTTCCTCCAGTCCTCAGGCAGCTCTCCTGTTCTCCATGACCTTTCAAAGATGATGGAGAGTAGCTTTGCAATAACATCTGCCAGCCTCAGTTTCTAGGCTTTGATAATCTATGTATGAAATGAATGAATTTGTTTCATTTTTGTACTCTTGAATTTTTTCTCATTTATATGATATGCTGATCATCTTTTGCATTGATTTTTATTTTTTTTAATCCTACTTTCCTATCATGTCTCCAGAAATTTCTTTCTCTATGTTGCAGTCTTGGAAAGTACTAAATTGTGTTAGTATCAAGAGCAGACCTTGGAGTTTCACCAGGATCCTCTTTCTGGTCATATGCCATTACTACTGATGCTACCTCTTCCCATCTTTCTGAAGAATTTTTTATTTACTACAGTTTTTTTCCCTATAAGCCTTCACTTTCTGTAGCATCATGTGTAGTTTTTCAGGCAGTGCTCTATTAAATGCTTTGAAGAAGTCCTTATAAATTAGATATTTCTCTTAACTGTGAAAGTTGTGTATAAAAAAAAAAAATAAATTCTCATGGATCACATCAATGAAATACACTGTATTAGTAAGAATTACCTTCCTGTTGTCTGTGTTGGAATGCCGTTTGACTGAAATGCGCATCTGTTTTCTAGGAGTTGCTCTGTGTTTAATAGGCTAGGTAGATATGTTTGCCATAATTAATACTTGTTTATGAATTCCCAGATTCAACAAAATAGTCTAGCCTCTTCCTAACTTTAAATCTGATAGGTGGGACTTTGTATTATGTACAGGTGTTCAAGTATTTTGCTAAATGGGGTTCAAATGAAGAAAATGTATTGATTACCTAACTATTATCTTTCTGTTCAATGTGATGTAGAACTATATTTCTTTCTATGTTCCTCTTTAAGAAGTAATTCTCCTTACTGAAGTTACAACTCTGAAAACTGAAGACTTTGTGGTATAACCTGGTAGTGTTTAGCGTGCATTTTCACTTACGTAACTGTTCAGGGAAGCAAACCTTCGGGTTTTGGAAAGCAGCATTAAATAGATGCTGACAACTTAAAAAAAAAAAAAAAGTTATTTACCCTATTATTCCTTTCTGTTATATTAACAAGTAGTGAGTTCGGTGTCAATTTAAAAACAAAGGCAAGGTTTTAAGTTACCTGATGGACCCAATGCTCACTTTCTGTAGTAAGCAAAACAACTGGAAGAGAATGTAGCTTTACTTGTCTGTACCTAGCTCTTTTTCTGCACACTTTAGCCTTACTAGGATATCTGGTTTAGTGTGCTTTTATGTTTTGTTAGTCTGTATGTCAGGAAGTTTTAAGGCAGTCCTGAGTGAATATGGGGACTTTTTTACATTCAGCCTTTATAATCTGGCCGTTTTCATAGACTTACTTATTCCTGTCATCTTTTGTAAAATAATGCCATGATCATGAAAGAAGCAAGTTTAATCTTTATACTTGAAACTGTCAGTCCATGTACACGTGTGCTTTTTTTAAAAGCAGTAAATACATGAGGAAGGTAAAACTGGAAAAAATCTACAATTATAGGTGTCAGTTGTTAGTCAAAAGGCTCTATGAGGAGTAAGTAATACTTGAAATTACCAATGATGAATTTTGTCTGAAGTCTAAGGTTAGACTGAAAATTAATTAGTATGGCTTTTGTTTTGAGATGCACTGTAAATAAAAAGCAGGATAGGGTGAAACCTACTAAGTGCCTTGTCTGCTTCTGATTTTTGTTTCTTGAATGCCTGGATGTGTAGAAATACACATGCTGAATGGTTTGTGTTTTTTTCTTTATTTCTAGGCTAAAAAACTTAATTATAAGGATAAGAAATTGAATATTGGTCCAGCAATAAGAAAACAGCAAATACGGAGTCCTCGTATGTATTTATTTATTTGTATATTATGTGTCACTAAATGTAAGTTTTTAACAAAGATGTGCCTGGTCATGCATCGTATTAGTGCTGTGAGAGGAATATGCTCAAAATGTTTTGCAGTGGAAGTAAATGTGTGCCAGTGGAAGTGTGCAAATAAACAGATTGATGGTCTTTGGTTCTTTTATCTCTTTTAATATGCTAATTACTTTCTTTTTTGGAAAAGATTATCTAGGAACAAACTGAATGGAAATTTCTCTGGGTTGCCGAGTAGAACCTCAAATCTAAATACTTAAACTGTCCTCACAGATTGTACAGGTTAAAGCAGGCTGTGCTCATTGGTTGAGTTCTTATCAATTTAATTATTTATATTGGTAAAATCCATCAGGACTGTTGCATCTTGCTTTCTTTGGTAGAAACCTTAAGGAATGGGTGGTTGCAGTCACCATTCATTTCTTAAGAGTTCTTCACTGTAAGATAATGGAATGGATGCTGTAAGTTCTTTCTCTGGCAAAGACCTGTTTAGACTGAGCACTTACATAAGAGCAGTATTGATAAGGTTTCTTGTCAGATGACTTCATCTTGAGCAAGTATGCTGTATGATGTTCTTTTGTGGGAGACAGAAGACAGGTTTTCTTCTAGAGAAGATGCCATCTCCTTCTGCCAGGAGCTGTTTTATTTCTGTAACACACTACTGAAAATGTAGGATATGAATCACCACTTTTAAGACAAGATGTCAGATTTTCATGTAGCAGGGCATGCTGTTTTGTTATTCCTCAGTAAGGGCTATGTGACAGAGATGTGAAATGCATTCCTTTTATAAGTGCAGCAGGGAATTAAGTGTACTTTTGTAACTTTCCCTCAGTATTTGTCTTATGTATGCTAACACTGTTGGTGCGGACATCCTTTATGCAGACATGAAACCTCCCTCTCTCTTCCTCCCCTTGTGCATAGATTTGCCCTTCTCCCTTGTAACTGTGTAGGAGAGTGTTTGCCCAGGAGAAATGGAATACTTTGTTCCAACTGTATAGTTTCTTTGCTTTAGAAATTTTTCAGCACGGTCTTTGCCCAGTCATCATCAAGGGGTTATATACTTTTTTTTTTGCTATGCTTTTTTCCCTTTCCATCTTTCACTTGGATTTTCTCAGTTGCACTGCCTCACTTGTGGTGCTTCTTTCCTCTGGAAGGAAGTATTGATAGAAGAGGGCCTTATCTTTAATTCTGAGACCTGGGGAAACAGAAGAAAAAAAAATCAAAAACATTTTTGAAGAAAGCTGCTGTGTCCTTTTGAGATCTGTTTGTGGTGCTGTTTGGCTCTGCAACTTCTTCCTCAAGTCTAGGATAGGTCTGTGGTACAAGATCATACTGCTGTCTAGGGACATACAATAAAATCAGATCCTAGAATATCTGCTCTCATGCTCAGCTTGCCAACCTTAGTTGCTATTATACTTTGTTCTACTGCAGCTCATCTTGAGGTTCATTAAGCCATAAAACCTAGACTCGCAGCATCACTGTAGGGACTGTGGTTCTATTATATTTAGCAGAATTGAAGAGAGCCCATTTATCTCTTTTGTCTTTAGCCCACCTGTAATCTAGTACCTGTCTTCCTTACTATTAAACAAAACAATTTTTAGCTCTTCTGTCATCATAGGACCTCTTATGTGAATATCTTTGAACATACTGGGAGGGCCACTCAGTTTGCTTTTCCCCAGCACCAAGTATTGTGAAAATGAGTATTCCAAAAGCCGAAAAAATAGAAACCAAACATGAACAACTGGAAGAAGAATGATGAAATGTGGGCTGGAATACTCTCGGATAGCTGTACCTCCCGCAAGTTGTGGGTTTTTTCTTGTCACAGTGAGTGTGCTGGGTTTGATGGAGAATATTTCCTTTTCCTGTGTAAGAGGCATACTCAGCAATAGCAGAAAGTTCTGTGCAAGGTACTTGGTAGTTAGTGAAGTGAACAGGATTGTTGGCCATAGGATCCTGTTGGTCTCCTCATTTGAGATATCGGTAACTACAATTCTAGATTGCTTACAGGAGCTAAAGTTAGCCTCTGATTTTTCTAAGATCTGTTTAACGCTGTCCTAGCAACCATCTTGTTCATGTATAGTATTTCAGCTTTATTGTATCTGAGTGTCTTCAGACTTTTCTAGGAGTTAGTCAAATTCTTACCATCGATGAAAGCCCTTGAATTATTGTGGGACCCTTCTTGGTCTTCCACTGAGCGTTCTAGTAATCTCTTCAGTGTTGTGTCTGTCTATAAAATGGAACTTCATTGTGGCACTTAGCTTTGCAAGGGAGATGAAAAACTAAAACTTGCTCAGTGATCTGGTTTATATCGTGTTCTTCCTGAGTTTTTCCATGGTATGTTACTACTTGGTGTGACTTCAAGATTTCAATTTCAGTTACAGAATTAATGTTGCTTTTTTTTTTTTTTAGAAGTCTTTTTATATTTGGAACTGGAACTTGTCTTCATGTTTGACATAAAGGTCTGGAGACACATGAAGTCCTCTCCCATGCCTCCAAAAATGCAGATAGAAATAGGGCCTAGGTAATCTCAAAGGCAGCGTTTGAAAAAGATAAACAACCTCTGCATAGGGATATCACTTTCCTTAAATAATGCTTGCTGTCAGTACCTGCTAGAGGGCTGTATAGTTCGAACTGTGCTCTGGGATTAGACCACGCTAATTTATAGCTTCCGCCATAGCCATAGCGTTGTTAAGTGTCCCTGCTGATGATGTCTAGGTACCAGTTTTTACTTTTGCCAGGCAATGTGCCATCACAGAAAGACAGTCTTTGTGTGTTGAGAAATCAGGCTGCATCTTGTAGTGAAATTATTCTGTTGTTTTTAGTGCTTGGATCCTGTTTCAGCTAAACATGAATATGTAGCGGTTACCAATGAAAATCTCCTACAATGTGAAGTTACCTTTGGATATTTGAAGATTAATATGTATATATTTGCTGGTAATTGGAGTTATCTGTGTTTAGTAGTTTATTTGCATGTCATCTTCACCCCTTCCCATCTGCCTTTGGAGACATCCTGTGACCATCTACTTTCATGATTTTGTGTTTGAGAGGGAATTGAGATGGCACTAGGCCCGCTGCCCCATGTTCTTTCTTTTGAGTGTTTTGCTTCTCTGAAGATCAGAAATGATCTCTTCTTTTTTTGTGACCTACACATCTAAAAAAAAAAAAAGTACTGGTAAGCAAACTTTAAGATATTAATTCCAGGTTCTACTGCAATAACAGAAGCTGCTACAATGTACTTAACGACTTCAAGTGGATATCCTTATATTTACCATAATGGAGTGGCTTATTTTCATACGTCTGAAGTTGCTTCTGTTCCGCAGCCGTGGCCAGTAAGTAATTTATTTTTGTATACATGCTTTTCTGTGGACCAGGACTAGTGCAGTGGTTTCAAGTCCCTCCTGCTTCATTTCTTTGGCTATGCCTTGTGTTTGGTGTTTAAATGGCTTCCTTATATTAGTCTGTTTATTTTGTGTTTTTTAAATAGTACATAAGTTTATTGTTCTTCTGCAGGGGACTTGGCTTTGATGTGACCTACTGGACAGGGTAGTTCAGAATGAGTGTGGGCCCTACCCCAGGAGAAACTTTTGTTTTACTGAGGAGTTGTTGGTGCTAATTACCGTTGATTGGCTCCATTTACTATTACTCTGAGAGTGAGGTGTTCTTGGCTGCAAAATATTATGCTGCTGATGAAAAAAGAACATAATACTAGATAAAGCAAAGCAAAAGTGAAATTGTCTAATTTGATAGTCATTCATATACTCTTTTTCATGGATACTGCTTGTTTTAGGAGGAAGATGATTCAATAAATCAATTGTTTGGCTTTAGTAGGCGGGGGGAACTTGGACAGAATTTCTTGGGAAGTCCAGGAAGGAGTTGTCAATCATATCAGGTTTTGGTTTTTTTACAAGAGGGAAGGATTGCAACATGGGGGTCAGCATAAGACACAGGACATATGTAGAGAATGCATCCTTACTAGTTTTTGTAAAAGCAGCATTTACAGAGCATACTGTCTCTGTATATCTGTATACTGTGCATACTATCTCTATAAACAAGTGGAAAATCCCTTCATGTATTGGGGGGGGAGGAACTCAATAGAAGAATTGCTAATAAATAAAAACAAACTTTCCCAAAACAGAGCTGAGAGCAGTAATAGAATGTTGTTTATTTTGGCACCATAAGTATTTAATCTCTGCTTTAATCACTTCTCTTAACTTCTAACAGAGGCATCAGAGTGCTTCATAGTGCCTTCTCCACTTTAGAGGATAAGCTTAAACACCTGTTCACATATTTTTAGAAAGCCTTTTTGAAGTTCATGCTCTGTGGTTCTAGAGAACTTACTCAAATCCTAACTTTTGGAAAAAAAACAATACTTTTGGTGTTATAGTACTGAACTTTGGTTCTGGTGCCCTGGCCAAGATCCCCTCTGTTTCAAACAAATAGCACTCATTTTTCCAATCAGGAATAGTGCTGCCTCTTTCGGTTTCAGTTATTTACCTATTCGTAATCTTCATCATTAGGAAAGTACCTATATAAAGATGTTAAGTAAAAAACCTGAAAATTTGATGTTAGTGAAAACATTAACCAAATTAAAGATTATTAATACTTTCTGGTGTGTATTGTGCATGTATAACAGTGCAGATTGGGTCTTTTTTTGCATTTTGCATTCTGCATTTTCATGTAGTGTAGAATGAATTAAAGTAGTTGTGGAGTAGTTCCCCCTAAATATTTGCAGGAATGAAGGAATTTCATGACATGGGAGGTGCACATGCTAGCTTTAAGTAATTGTAACTAGACGTTCACAGTCCTGTATTGTTACTTATCATGGCTGTGTATTTCTGCACCCCTTTTCTTTCACTGGTGTTTCTCTGACCCTAAACTGGGCCCCCCAAAAAACCCAAGCATATTTCTAGCTGGTTTAGCTCCTTAAACAGGCCCACTGCCAAATCAGATGAATGCTGGGGCTGTTGTAAAGAAGGGAATGGGAGACGGGAAGATTGGGTTGGAGCTGTGGAGAGGATAGGAATACATCAGTGACAACTTAGGGCAATCTAAGTGTTCACAAAAATGTGCATATGGTCAGGATAGTAAATGGCCTTAGCATCTCTAGAGAGTGATGGCCTAGTGCTTTCTGGCAAGAAATAGGTAAATATACCAAACTTTTTTTTGTTTCATCTCTAACGTTGGCCCTTAGAAACAGTGGTTTTCAAGAATCTAAGTGTAAGTTAAAACTTGGTAAATGCATTTTCAAAAGGGAGGGGAGGTGGTTCAGCATTATTATACTTCATAACTGTTCTTAATGGGAGTGACAACTTACGAAATTGCTGTATTAAGACTTGTAACTCTCTTCTTTTTAAGTCGCGCTCTGTTTCCAGTTCACCTATGATGGTAGCTCAACCGGTTTATCAGTCTCCTACATACCATTATCAGGTATCTGTTTGAAAATGGGCTTCAGACCATCAGTATTCCTCCCAGCCATGCAGTTTTATTTTCATCACGGTCTCAGGTCTGTTCATTCTTAGGAAATAAAAAGAGTGTTCTAAATAATAATATAAACCAGACTTTAATTCCATCAAAGACTTTCCTTTCACTGAAACGCAACTTATTATTCTGCCTATGTAACTACATGGAAATGTAATAAATTAAAATTTTCTTTGGTGTTGCTAGACAACTGGCTTAGTACCATCCTTGATTTTTATCATGTAAGCCAAACTCCTGCCTTGTCCTGGAGGACAAGTCTTATGAGGAATGACTGAGGGAACTGAGGTTGTTTAGCCTGGAGAAGAGGAGGCTGAGGGGAGACATTATCACTCTCTGCAACTACCTGAAAGGAATTGTAGAGAGGTGCGGGCTGACCTCCTCTCCCTGGTGACAAATGATAGGACGAGAGGAAATGGGTTCAAGTTACGTCAGATGAGGTTTAGATTAGATATTAGGAAAAATTCTTTCACTGAAAGGGTTACTAAACATTGGAATAGGCTGCCCAGGGGGGGGGGGGGTTTGCCCTCCCCGGAGGGGTTTAAAAAAAAAAAAAAAGGGGGGGGGTAGATGTAGTACTTGGGGACATGGTGTAGAAGTGGTTTTGTCAGGGTAGGTTAATGGTTGGACTTGATGATCTTAAAGGTCCCTTCCAGCCTCAGCAATTCTATGATTATAACAGCAGGGCTGGTTAGATCAGATTTCTCAGGAGCTTGTCCAGTTGAATTTTAAGTATCTCCAGTGATGGAGATTCCTCAGCCTTTCTGGACAGCCTCTGCCAATATTTTTCCCTTCTCATAGTAAAAGATGTCTTTTTTCCTTACAAGTAGTTAAAATTTTCAATGTTCCAGCTCTTGTCTGGATTCTTGTGCTCTGAACACCACAAGAATCTGGCTCAGTCATGTTTATGCTCCATGCCCCCTTAAGGCAGCTGTAGCTGGCAATAGTTATCCCCTCCCACCTTTATCCTTCTGAAGGCTGAACAAACCCAATTCTCTCAGCATCCTGGTTTGTCTGTTCTCCAGTCCCTTAACCATCATGGCAGCCTACTACTGAATTTATGCAGTGTGTACATGGTTTTACTGTGTATTGGAAAGTTAACTGCATTTTGTATCTTCTGTTTTCCTAATTAGGCACACTTCTTAGATGCTTCAGTATTTTAGAAGCTTATGAAATGCCCAAGTCAGAGGCTGAGTAGAAGTAGACAAAACCATATTTCTGAATTATTTGGGGGCTTAAGAAAATCATACTACTTTTTAATTAAAAAGAATTGATTACAGATTTGAAATAGTTTTGATTCTAGTGTGATGGGAATTCTAGTATGTGTATGCATATATTCTTAATCATGCAAGTAATATCTTTTTTTGTTTGAATTTAGGCACCAGCACAGTGTCTTCCAAGTCAGTGGCAGTGGTCTGTTCCACAGGTAAATACAGTTCATAGTTGCAGCATTTTACCACTAGTTTGCATGTAGTTTAAAGGTACTGTGCACTTACCTAACAGTGAAACTTCCCACTATTTAGAACACTATCGAAATGGGTATTAATTGCTGTATTTTAGCAATGCATTTGCAACACTTGCTGATACAATAGAAGGCATAAAATAGCATTTATTGGAACATTAAATACAAATCTGATGTAAAGACAGCATCTTCCTCTTCCCTCTCTGTCTGGTAAAAAGTTTGTATTAAATGATCTAATAAGTTCTCAAAAGCAGGTAAGAACTGCCATAATTTGCCTGATAGTATCAGTTAATGAGCCAGTTAATACTAATTTCTCATAACTGTGGTGTTTCATTGCAGTATTGCTAGCAGGGGCATGTAGACACAAAAATACGTTGAAATTAGTCCCAGACCCTTGAAATAGGAGGAAGAACTTGTAATTGCTAACTTAATAGTTTTGGGGGGAGACACTGTCAGTTTTCTGATCCCTGTAGCAGAGGAGCTATTTCCATATTAGGAAATCTTGCCGCTCAAGGAACTTGAAGCTAAAAGGAGGACCAAGTCCCTTAAGCTTGAATTGTTACAATGCATCCTCATTACTTTAGTAATAACCAGCCTTCTCCACCTATGGACAGTTCTAATCTATTAGATTAGAACTGTAGATGTCAGTTTGCTGCTTCGAAATCTGAGTGCTGAATTGGAGAAATAATGTGGGTTTTATTTTAAAACTAAAATACTCGTGTTTTTAATGTAACATTTCTGCAAGAGAAAATGTAACTGTATGTTTCTGTGATCAATAGTTAAGTGTCAATTTTATAAAGTTTAGGATTTCTCTTAACAGTGCTTTCCAAATTGTGAATAAAATATGAAAAATATGTAAAAATGATTAAAGAATATCTTTGTTTTATTCTACTACCTGACCTTTCTACCTGCTTCCCCCTCACTAAGTTTCTTTAGGTTATCAAAGATGAATTTGATGCTTTCTTTTAAAGCTTTATCTTTGTTTATGTGTAGCAAAGACAACTGTAAAACAAGCTTTGCTATTTATAGTGCGTAAATCATAATTTATGAAAATAATGTGTTTATTTCAGTCTCCTCCCTCTTCATCTTCACTCTTGTATCTGCAACCATCTGAAGTCATTTATCAGCCAATAGGGATTACCCAGGAAAGTGGATGTATACCTCCTCCTCTCCTAGTGGAAGCTTCAGTTCCTGAGGTATTTTTATTTTAAAAAAATTTACTTACAATTGAAGTATTTATCTGCAATTGAAAAACAGTCTTTTAGTTTAAGCACGGGCAGTTCGGAGCACTCTGCATCAGCTGTTCTCTGTACTTACCCCCCATACCCACGCCGCTCCTGTTAAATCATTTCAGTTTTCCTCAGGTTAGAGTATCTCTTCCAGTTTTCTAGATGGATGCTTTGATTCTGAAATATTTTAGAGGGTCATAAGTGTATGACAGACAGCAATATAAAGACTAGTCAATTTGTTTTGTTTGAAAATAACATTTAAATAAAATCGGACTCAGACTCTTCAGAATGCTCGACTAGTCTAACCAAGCCATAATAGTTCCCTGAAGTAAATCTTTCTCTGTGTGAGTAGAAGCTAGTTTCAAAATATTCTGAAGATCAGAATGAATTAAGAGTAGTTGAATGACTAAATAATTTTTGGTTATGCTTTTTTTTTTTTTTTTTGCTTCTGTATCAATGGTGTTTCCAATGTTTCTTAAGATATTCTTAGTGTATAGTAAGGCCATTTCTTTACAGTTGGATATTAAAAATGACAGTAAATAATTAGCTACAGAAAGCCTTACTATAAAATTGAAAATGTATTACGATTAATTGGTACTTTTCCTCTTTGGTAATTTATTCCTAGTTAACAGGGATGCCAAAATAAATGGTTAACTAGCACAGTAATCAAGTATTTTTATTAAAAGTTGAAGAGAATTTTATTGCTACAAGAGAAATTCAAAATTGGTATATCAAACATCTTGGATATGTCAGGATTTCCCACTTAAGTTACCTAATTTCCAGACAAAGGTCTCAAATAATACAAGACTGGTTGTTGGGGTTTTTCTTCTTTTTTAAAGTGTATAAATCTCAGTATTTATTGTATAATCATAAATCTTATCAATGTTATTTTTACCTTTTGTATTTCATAAATCAGATATCAACTTATACAGAGAAATTTGAAATCTGTGAGCACTAAGAAAAAACACGAAATTAGTTAAGGAATATTTGGATGTAACATACTCTCAGTTCACAGGTACATAATTTGTTGATGTTAAAGGAAGCAGTAAGTGGAAATTCAGAAGATGGTGTAAAATTGAAAGAAAAGCCTGTGTGTTATTTGTATGTAAATATCTTGTAAGTGCAATAGTGCTGGGAATTATGTGTCAATATGCTCACCTAAACATTTAAACACTGTTCCAGCCAGAGCTGAGTGAAATGGGTATGTAGTAGAGAGGCGTGCTACTTCTATCAAGGAAAGTGCTTTTTGACACTGATCTAGATAAACTAAACTTACCAAACTTTGGTACAGTGGGGAAAATATAGATTTGAGTACTGAAAATTTTTTTTTAAAAAAAGTCAGTAGTTTAGAGAAACACAGCCCACAGCTTGAAGTTTTAAGGAATGTAAATTCATGTGAAAGGTTTACAAAAACGTAAAATTGTGGAACAAGCTTTTCAGTTCACTTTTTGTCTTTTTTTTACCAGCTGTATTCTGATCATGGAGTTCAAGCACCACATCACCAGCCTTACACCCAGGGTGCCATAGCCGTCCCTGCACCTGTAAGTATCAAACTGAGATAGTTAAAACACTGTAGTCTTACTGTTCCCTTTCTTGAAGGGGACAGTAAGAGAAGAGCAGTAGGGATGAAAAAGTCTTTTTTAATAAAAGATTCATTAATAGAAAACAGAAACGTTGCAGAGAAACTGAGTTTGGGGGTTTTTTTTCCACTTGAGGCGTTGTTACGGAGGATATAACTTATTTTGGAACTATTTGGGGGAAACTTAAAATACCTAGTCATGGGTTTCTTTAAAAACTTGAGATACATTTTTCATTTGCAGGTTTTTTTTGTGTTTTGAGAGAAAACGGTGAACCTTGTTCAGTTCTTTGAAATTATGGCTATAAATTCCTGTCTCTCTAGATCTTGAGAAGTTGAATTAACTACTTGCAGCCTTAGATAAGCATCTCCTGTTGTGGCAAGGTGGGGTTTTGGAACATGGAGCATGAAAACCTGTCCTGGTTGGCCACCTGTGGGTGTTCTGTGCACTTCTGGTTTTGAATGGCCGCTCAAAAATGTGATTCTTCCATGTTGTCTGAAAGAAGTTGTTGGGTTTTTTGGGTCCCAGTTTAAGGTCCTTTTGCCTAAATTAAGGAGGTTGTTAGCACAACATACAAAATACGCGTCTAAACTAGATTTAGCTTAGATTTACCTGGTAACAAAGAACTAAAGGTATCAATAGTGTTATCTGACATTACAGCACCTAATCTTCTGTGAAAGATGCTTACTTAACTACAAATGACAGGCTAAATATGAATGAATCAAAGCCATGTTATAGGCTGTCCTTTATATGTATTTTTCATTTATTTTACATTTCTTTTAAGAGAAGAATCTTTTTTCCAGAATACAGTCTCTGCTAAATATTTCCAGTAGAGGGGGCTGTAACATTTAATGTTGTCTTGGAATAAAATGCAAGTACCCCCAATAAAAAAATTTAGAAGCTGAATATGAATTTGAGACTACTAATCCTGAGTTATACGTATTTTTAAGAAATACTTAAAAGGGAGTTGGTGTAACACAGTGATCATAATATCCAGTTTATATTCCCTTTTTCTGACAATGTATGAAAACGTTTTTTTAAAAAGGCAGTAGTAGTCTTGGAGTCAAAAACAAGTGCATGCTTACTGTATCAAATGGACACAAGCTTTTTCACCTTGAAACTTGACTTCTATTATCTTTCCTAGGGCCAGGGCTATATGAACAAGATAGTGTGAAGTAAGTTACAAGGTAGATCTAGAGCACAATAGCTCTTTCTCTTCTACAGTAATTGCCACAGTACCATGCTTTACCTTTGCAAAGGCAGAGTAGTTTACTCTGTGCTAAGTGGTAATGTGTTAATTTACAGTAGAATATGTGCATGCATGGTAAAAACCATGTTTGGTTACTGTGGCATAGGAAATGAGCAGTAAATTCAGACTTTTTTTTATTTCCTGATACAATATTTTCTGTGTTTATTCATAGCTTTAGAAGTGATTTCACACACAGCCAAAGCTGATGTAACCCAGCAATTTATTCCATTTTCCACACCACCCATTTCCTGTGCTGGTAGAGGTTTTTGGGAGGCAATATGGTAAACCAGGTCAGGGAACTGATGTAGTTAAAGATGAAGCCCTGCTCCTACCACCCAAAAAGAGCTGACTTAAACTTGGATCTGTTCCTTAGACCAGTTTGTCAAGCAACTGCACAAACTCTTGTACTTATACAAGAAGTTTGGAATAGGATAGAGGAAGTAAGACTTGTGTTAGCAGTGCTGATTTAAACTTGATGGAACTGAGCATGAGATTGAGCAAGAAATACAGTAAAGGAATGGACAGGATTAACATTCTTACCTGTTCTCAGAAGTCTTCTGTTACCCATAGATGAAACTCTGTTTTGTTCACGTCTCAAGTAGATTCACAGATACAGGTAAACTCTTACAAAGACTTGCTGAATTCTGATAATCTTATTCATTACAAGATGATGCCAAATATTTTTTGACAGGTTTCAATTTTTGTTTATTTAGTTAGCTTCATTTTGTAGTAACTAGTAACTCTGGAATATAATGCTTGGTTTTTACATTCCACCTTACCTTTTCACATGCCCACTTCAAGTTTTGAATATATTCCATGTGTAATGAATATGATCAGCTTTTATTGTGTCTATCACTGTGGCTGAGCACTCAACAATGATTGGGGGGTGGGGGGAGGCAAATGTTGACAGCAGACTGCAATGTATTAAGCAAGTAGTGGTGTCACTACCAGCTGCTCCCCAGCTGCATAAAAATACTGCCTGCTGGCTATAGTATTGTTAAAATATCCCAACAAATGTATCTGCTACTTGAAACTTGCCAAGGAGTGGTCATGTAAGAGGCAGCAGATGCCTAAAATAAGGACCTTAACTTGAAGGTAATTTGCTAATTGCCTCCACTGCATTAGGAATAAACATATGCTTTATACTAGGAGCTGTAAGTCATATGGTAAGAATAGGATGGGTACAGCTAGTATTAAAGATATTTTTGGCAGTTGTAGGCTACTTAGAGCTTACAAATACAGCTCAAAACAGCATGCTTTGCAGTCATATTTTAATGAAGTCATAAGGGTGAGCAAACAAAATGGAATAAATCTTTATTAAAGAAGAAAATTAAATTTCTACACCAGTGTTTCCATTGCTGTTGTGAATGTTTACATGATGAATGACCCGAGTTCTCTTTTTATAAAGAGAACACAGTTCATTCATCATGTAAACCATTCAGAAGTTAACAAAGGAAGCTTCAGTTTCAACAATTCTCTAACTTATTTTTCATTTGCTTTATTCTACCACTTAAGTAGCATTTTGTTGATGTAATTTTTAATACTAAGTTTGTAATAGTCTTAAATGAAAATGAGAAGAAAACATTCCTCAATTTCCAACTGTAACTTATTTTTAGACCCAAATTTGGTATTTAATTTGTTGTTTAATACCCTCCCCTTGTTAATGTGTTTGCTCATAACTGTATTTACTTGAAGGTGTTTTCTTTTGGGGATTATAGCATGTTTGGTTCATGAGTATGTGGAAGTGATTTCATCTTCACATCTATACAAATGGGTAAGGTAGACATTCATTCTCAAAGGCTGCTAGGTGACTCTTGTTTTTAGGAAGTCTGAATCTTGATCTCTCCTGGATCTTGTTCAGTGTTTAAGATCTTAAATGGTCCTCTGATACAGATTGTTTGAATGCACTTAGAGGACATGTATGAGATCGTGTTTGGCATTAAGATCTGAGTAGTCTACAGTAACAGCAGGAACTTGAGGGAAGATTGAAATTTGTGTTGTCTGGTTTCAGACCTGGTAGAAATACCTGTGAGTTAAATTTTTGTTTTGCATGGTTATCTTGGGGGAGGGGAGGCGGTGTTCTCTTTTATTTGAGCTTGGACACTTACCTTCGGAGGGCGGGGTGGAAATCAGTTTTATGTTATCTAAAGCCTTCACTCCTGTCCCCACAATAGAGTCGTTTTAGCTGACAAAGTCTGTCAGTCTTCCCTAATCTAATTATTGGAACCTAAGTGTTACACAGTGGATTGGAGTGGAGAGCTATAGTACTTCTTTTAAGCTTATCCTTTTCTTTAGAAAATGATTTGGAAAGGCACAGAAAAATACAAAGTTAGTAAGTATTTTTACAGGTTATTTTCCCTGAAGACCCAGTAACTCTAACAAGAACCTGTCGATGATAGAAATGTATCCTGGTTTCCAGATTTGAGTGTTTGGTTTTTGTCACTTTGTTCTCTATTCTCCACATTTTATTTTTTTTTTCAAAGCTTTAATATCCAATTTTCCACTTACTATAAGAAAATGCTTTTTGTAAGGGTCCAAGATTCTTTGCTTGAGCATTTCCAGTTTACGGTATATGGGCAGTAATTATATTGCCTCTAACTGAAAAGGCAGAACAGGGTCTTCCTATGTCATAACAGAATTTAGGGTATTCACTTGTAATACAGTTCATGTATATATGCATTCAGATTGTAATGGTGCATGATGCTAATACCTTGGCCTTTTGGTAGTGAATGTTCCGTAAATTTAACTGAACTTAGAGCACTCCACTTTTCTCTGCAGTTAAGAGTAATAAGCTAAAATTTGTGTTCTGTGTGTATAATACACATAAATATACATGTGTCTGTATATATACACTTGCATGTATGTATATAAATTGTGTTTTTTACAAGGGGAAGTCTTGGTGTAATCATTTTGGGAGAAGTGTAGTAATCTTATACTAGTACTGTGTGCTATTGTATAATATTCCATCTGGAACAAAAAAAAATTAAATCTCACAACATATTTTTTTATATAGATAAGTATTTTTTTTTCATTTATACATGGGGTGATATTGAGAAAGAGAATAAACGTTTTGTTTAAAGTTACCTTAGTCTCAGAAACATGAATCTAAACTTCTAGTTGTGGTAATATATGATAAACAAGAGGCTTGTCACCAGCTGTAGCAAGGTCTGTTGTCTGTAAAAGGGGTTTTTTTTAAACTCCACCAAAAAATACTGGTTTTATATTAACATAGAAAGGTGCAGATATTGTAGCATTGTTTCCTTCTATGTTCTCTTTATAATCTCCTCTTTTTCTGTTCTAATAGTTTGTTCTCGTTCCAGTTTAATGTTTTTGTTTGTTTTTTTTCTTTTGCTTTCTCTGACCTGTATGTTCTCTCTTTCTTTACTTGACAGACAGTATGGAGCGTTCACTATTAAGCCATTTGGGCAGCTCTAGTCTACCTGTACTGATTTTTCTTGTTCAATCCTTCCCATGTGGCTGAGATCCATCATCAACGTACCAGCTAGCAGCTGCCTGTTGTGAAAGTTGGGGTCAGTTGTTTCACTGCAATGCTTGCTATTTACAAATTAGTAAGTTATAAAACATGCTCTGACAGAATTTAGCATAGTCTGCAGTATTACTTAGCTGCTTCCTGCTTGTTTGTAAATTTCCTAATAAGTCTCTTATGTAAATCAAAATTTTTATAATCCATGTCATTCATTCCTAGCATAATCATGTATATATTCATTCATCATAATTTTCTTTCTAGCTCAACTTCCCAGGTTCTGTAATTGTTTGGATTATTTTCTTTCAGCAGGGATGGAAATTTCCAGCGCTCTAATGTATGATTTTTGTTTCTGAAACTGTTTTAATTCCTTTATTGGCAACTCAACTTTGTCCCCTTTTCTCCCTATTTTGTGTGATTTACAGTTGTTTGTATTCATGGAGTTCTACTCTGGCAGGTGCTTAACCATGCTTTTTATTGTGAAAAAGGTGCTGCTTTTAGTTGATTACACCTCTTAAAAAAAATTAGCATTTTAATAAAATGAAGTTAGGGTAGAATACAGATGTGGCTTTTAAAAAAAAAATACTAGAAGTTTGCCAGTGTGAAACTGAGCATAGTTCTCTTCTGTTGGGACCAGACAGTAGAGGGGAAAAATGTGTTTGTGTCCTCCATATTCTAATAGGAGTCAGCACTAAAAAAAGAGTAAGAGAAATAGATTGGAACCGAAGTCCTGTCAGGTTGATGTAATGAAAGGTAAAGTGGGCAGGGAGATGGGCATTAGATGGCCGTGGAACCTAGAGATTTAGGAAAGCAATGCACAACATCATATGGGGCTAATAGATGATGGAAAGAAACTGAAATCTTGAGATTAAAGAGAGTTGAATATCATGATAGGGACTTAGGAACTACAGCTGTTTATACTGGAAACTGGCAGATCCAGGAGGAAGGGTAAAAAGACGACTAAGTTTAACAAAACAAAGAGTGTTGAAAAGGCCTGAGCTAAGAAGTTAAGGTTAGAAAACAAAGCTAGTTTGTCTGTTGTATGGCATAGCGTGAATATGAAGAAAGGACTCGGGCATGGGAATAGGCTGCCCAGGGAGGTGATTGAGTCACCATCCCTGGATGTGTTTAAGAGATGTTTAGATGTGGTGTTGGGGGGATATGGTGTAGGGGAGAACTTTGTAGAGTAGGGTAGATGGTTGGACTCGATGATCCCAAGGCTCTCTTCCAACCTAGACAATTCTATGATTCTATGACTCAGATTGGTTAAGTAAAGAGAATAAAACAGATGAGAGTTCCACAAATTGGATACAGAGCAGCTGAGATGCAAAGGGAGACTATAAAAGAAATTTGATCTTCAGAGGAATAAATAGAGTACTACAGTTATTCTAAAAACTGTTTTTGCCAGCACCTAAAATGGTAGCCCTGTTTTCTGGATCTT